TAAAGGGTGCAACAAACCAACATGGCACATGTATACATATGTAACAAACCTGCTCGTTGTGCACAGGTATCCCAGAGCTTAAAGTATAATAATAATAATAATAATAATAATAATAATAAACCATTCATAATGTTAGGGCTGGGCTTGCTGAGGAAGGACAGTGCACAGCATTTTGCTTAGGCAAGAGTAGGGTTGGATCTGAAGTTGTAGGCGGAAATTGCCCAAAGTGCTCAGAGGAACATTGTCAGGTAGAGAGAGGTAATGATAAGAGGAATAGGTGTCCAGAAAGAATAGAGGAAGCCGAAGTATCAGAAACTGATTCCACTGTGCCAGCAACTCTCCCTATGAATAGCCCTTCACATATGCTTGCCTATTTATTTGTCTCTTTCTGGCAGTCTCTTTGTTTTACACGATTTGTGACTTAAAGTTTGACTTCTAAACTGGTTGTTCATAGGAGTGTCCAAGCATGTTGGGGATGCCTTGAAATCCCATTCCTCTCATTCCTTGAGAAAAATCTGGACAGTTGGAATCCCTCCTTGGGGTATCATTGAGAACCAGAGAGACCTTATTGGAAAAGATGTAAGTAGACAATCCTTTCATAACAAAAGCAAATGAACACGTGTGCAAATTGCCAACTTAACACTGTATCTGGATGTCTAATGAATGAACATCACAGATGTAATACATTCACAACCAACTCCTGACTTTCTGCTGCTTCCCTCACCCTGTCTTAGAAGATGACAGTCCCACCCTTGCAGTTGCTCAAGCCAAAAGCCGTGGACTAATCCTAGAATGATCTTTTTCTCAAACTCAAACTTGATCCATCAGTTCCACCTTAAAAGTATATCTAAAATCTGATTTCTTCTTCTCACTACCTTTGCTGTTACTGAGTGAATCCGAGCCACCATTATCTGTCTCCTGAATGATTGCAATAGCCATCTTTACTCTTACCTTTGTCTCCTAACAGCATAGTCTCAACATAGTAGCCAGAATGATTCTTTTAAAATATACAAATCAGATCATGCTATTCCTCTGTGCAAAACCCTTCAAGGACTTCTGTCTCACTTAAGGTCGTAGTCAAGGTTCTTGAAGTGGTTTGCCCGTAGTGAAACAAGGGACATTCTTAATTTGGCCCTCCTAGTTCTTATCTGTTATCTTGTATTACTCTGCTTCCTTCCTTCTTGTGTATTGATTCTTTGATCCTGTGTATTCTTTTAAAGGGAATGGTCTTGTCTCAGTCTCTTTGTAAGACTAAAATAATTTTTCGGTAAAATATCAGATATAAGAAAATGTTCTAAAGAAGAAAGATGACTACTGTTAATATTTCTGTGAGGATCATTTCAGAATTTTTTCTATGTATGTGTGTGTATGTACAGTAAAAAAAAAGTGTATATTTAAAAATAGTAACAACAGAACTGACTGCTATAAATCTGCTTTTTTTTTTAGCTTACCTATTTGCCATAGTTATTTCTCCATGTTGGTTAATACAGACATGCTTATGGGTTTTTTAACTTTTTTTTTTTTTTCTGAGAGGGAGTCTGGCTCTGTTGCCCAGGCTGGAGTGCAGCAGCGCAGTCTCGGCTCACTGCAACCTCCACCTCCTGGATTCAAGCAATTCTCTTGCCTCAGCCTCCTGAGTAGCTGGGATTACAGGCGCCCACCAGCAGGCCTGGCTAATTTTTGTATTTTTAGTAGAGACGGGATTTCATCATGTTGGCCAGGCTGGTCTCGAACTCCTGACCTTGGATGATCTCCTGCCTCGGCCTCCCAAAGTGTTGGGATTACAGGTGTGAACCACCTCACCCAGCCTGTTTTAACTTTTATTTTGGAAAACTTCAAACGTATTAGGCAGTAGAGAAGTTAGAAAAGTGAACTCTTTCCTATGTATGTATATCCAGCTTCAACAGTTACCAGCTCATAGCCAGTTTTGTTTCCCCTCTTCCCTTATCCATTCAGCTGATGCCCTTGTTATTTTGAAGCAAATTTGAGACATCCAATAATTTCATCTATAAATATTTCAGTAGTTATTTCTAAAATATATGGACAATGAAAAATATATAATCACAATGAAGTTATTATATCTAAAAAATTGGCAGGAATATCTGAGTATCACTCAGTATCCAGTCTAGTCAAAATTTTCATTGCTTCATAATGTCTTTTTCAAAAACATGATTTCTTAAGTCTTCATTATTTAAGGATGTGATTTCATTATCCAAAAAAGTTTCATACATTGTGATGGGTTAATATGTCTCTTGACTTGCTTTTTATTTTTGTCACTTTTAATCTATGGATTTTACCTCCATCTCATTTTTTTATGTGTGTATAATTTATTTATTGAGGAAACTGGTCATTTGTTCTGAAGAGTTTCCTACAGCTTGGATTTTCCAGATTTTATCTTTTGTAGCAGGGTTTAGCATGTTTCTTTGCTTCTTTTCTGTAAATTGGTAGTTTGATTGAGAGGTATGATCAGGTTCAGGTTTTCTGTGTAAGTTTATGCTATAGGAGGATGTATGTCTTTCCCTTGTAATATATGGTGGTCTTTCTTTTTATAACGTTAGCAGTCATTGTGTAGATTCATTATTTCAACAGAGTTCCAACATGCTGACATTTAATGATAATGTCCTTCTTTGTTTATTAGCTTACCTGCTGTATGTACTTAACACTCTAATACTTAAATACTCCATATAGATAAATGTTTTCTCACCAATCACCTTGTGGTACAGTTGTATAGGAAGGGCTGAATAAATGCTTGACTCTTTATTTGCCAGTTTTCAAAATAATGAAAGGTGAATGATGAGTTTTCTTAACTCATAAATTTAAACATATTTGTCATATTTCAATCCATTAATCAATGCAGTTATTATTCTTAATAATGTTCAAATTGTCCCATTTTGGCCAGGGGAGTGTTTCCAAGTTGTCTCCTCAGTCCTTTCACACAATTCTATTATCTATCATGACTTCCCTGCTTTTTAGTATGGAAAAAATATTCCAGGCTCATTTTTTGTTCCCTAGAGAAAAGGCTGCTTGCTTTTAGTGGGACATAGTATTTTCCCCCTGCCTCGCCCGAGATGGAGTCTTGCTCTATTGCCCAGGTTGGAGTGCGGTGGCACGATTTCGGCTCACTGCAACCTCCACCTCCCAGGTTCAAGCAATTCTCCTGCCTCAGCCTTGCAGGTAGCTGGGATTACAGGCACTTGCCACCATGCCCAGCTAATTTTTGTAATTTTGGTAGAGATGGGGTTTCACCATGTTGGCCAGGCTGATCTTGAATTCATGACCTCGTGATCCACTCACCTCAGCCTCCCAAAGTGTTGGGATTACAGGCGCCGGCCACTGTGACTGGCCAGTGGGACCCAGTATTAGCAGAGCACGTCTGGAGGCCAAGGAAACATTTTGATTTTTCATGTCGACTAGTATCATACTGTACTGTATTGAATCAACGATTCCTCTATTATTATCCATTTAGGTCATGTTCTGTTTTTCACTTTTGAGGATAATAATAATAATATTGTGATAAGATATGTAGATCTTTGATACTAGCTTGCTTGTTTCCCTAGAAGTAATTCTCAAAGTGGAATGCTTGGACCAGTCTGTATAACCATTTAAAATGTGACACATTGCCTTCTGGAAAGGTGGTGAAAATTCACATTCTTGCCGGGCGTGGTGGCTCCTGCCTATAATCCCAACACTTTGGGAGGCCGAGGCTGAGGCTGGCAGATTGCTTGAGCCCAAGAGTTTGAGACTTGCCTGAGGAACGTGGTGAAACCCTGTCTCTACAAAAAAAAATGCAAAAATTAGCTGGGCATGGTGGTATGCGCCTATAGTCTCAGCTACTGAGAGGGCTGAGGTGGAAGGATCACTTGAACCTGGGAAGTTGAAGCTGCAATGAGCCGTGATCGCACCACTGCACTCCAGCCTGGGCAACAGAGTGAGACCCTGTCTCAAACAAACAAATAACAACAACAATAACAGCAACAACAACAACAACAAAAATAGCCAGCATGGCAGTGTGTGCCTGTAATCTTAGCTACTAAGGAGGCTGAGGTGGGAGGATTGCTTGAGCCTGGGAGGCAGAGGTTGCAGTGAGCCCAGATTGGCACTACTGCACTCCAGCCTGGGCAACAGAATTAGAACCTGCCTAAAAACAACAACAACAACAACAAAACCAAAAAACAAAAACCACCAAAAAAAAAAAAAAAAAAACC